CCCCCGCCACACACACCTGCCTGCCAGTCACTAACAAATTCAAACTGCTAACATCTACCTAGTTAGGGCCTGGACACACCCAAGCTAAACTAGGGCCAAGTACTTCATTTCCTGTCCTAATACAAATGTGAATGAGTCCTCTATTCTGAAATCTGCCAACTCTTCCAAAGAAGGAGGCAGAGATGATGAAGCTTGCCTGTTTAATGGGTAGAGAGTAAAGGACCACGTTAGGAACATGAGGTCTAAAGGTGCACAGTGGGCAGACCCCAGGCTGGGAAAGCACAGATGTGGAGGTAGTTTACATGAGAAGAGATGGTGTGTGTTGAGTTTCTAAGGAGGCTAGTGACGGTTCCATTTAGTTTCTCTGCATGTCCTTGTATTATAGATAGGCAAGACGGTAACCACTCCGAGGCAGTAAGATGGAACTAAACTCTGGTTGAGGATCGAGGAAACAACTTTCCCAAGCCCTCTCGGTGCAGACAGACAGAGGCAGATAGATCCACATATACAAACTTTACACAAAATAAATAAGGAGTTGTGATCAGCTTGGCTGGCCATTACCCTGGATTCTTCCCCACCCCTGTCAGAAGTGATTCCAGGAACCTTTCAGGCCCTAGGCATTTTAGAACCCAACACCTCCCCAGGAGTCCACCTCAGTCCCAAAAGCTCCTGGGCAATGAGAACCCAAGCCCCTTCAATCCTGAAGCCCCAGTCCTGAGGGTCTCTGGAATAGGCTCAAGGACAAGTGCCCATATCTCGGATTGCCAGGAGAGCATACCTAGAGCTAAGTGAGTTGCCAACTGAGCCCCCTGCTAGGGCAGAATCATAGTGGTAGCCCCCTGGTCCACAGAGCCCTAACCCAGTCTCTAAGCAAGCCCAGGAAACGAATCCTTTGCCTTCTGAAGTCCTCAAGAGCCCCATTCAGGGCCGGGCCCCCTGTTCCATTTGTTGGTGCTGGCTCCGCACAGCGAACCTGTTGACATGCACAGGTATGGGCACAACAATCTTGGGGTTTCTTACGGGCTCTCCAGAACGGCTGCTGACATTGCCAGCTTTGATGCGCTTCCACTTGGCTCTCCGATTCTGAAACCAGATCTTGACCTGCACCTCACTGAGCTTGAGGGCATGGGCGATCTGGGAACGCTCTGTCAAGCTCAGGTATTTCTTGCAATGAAACTCCTTCTCCAATTCCAAAAGCTGCTCACTGGTAAATGCTGTGCGGCGCCTCCGGCTTTTGCCCCCAGGAGCCGTGACTCCTGATGCCACTGGGGCTGCCTCCTCAGCTCCAGTCCCCAGGCTTCCCTTTAGCTTCGGTTTAGGTGCCAGGAGAACCCCCGGGCCCCCTGCAGAACTGTCCAGGAAACCGTCGTCCTCACTGTCACCGCCCGAGCCCTCTTCCTCCTGTTCGCTGCCTGCTGGGTCTCTTGCTGGTGCCTCCAGCTTCTCCTCATCTGAGCTGTACACCTTCCCCTCTGTGGGGAGTGAAAACCAATGGACAGGGAGGGAGAAGGTAGGAAAAGAGACAGGTTGGAAGAGGCACATGAAACCATGACCAGGCATGGCCAGAATGACAGCAGGAAGAGATACAGATGTAGAGGGGATGAGATGGGGATGGAAGAAGTTCAGGGAAGACAAAGAAATAGGAAGAAAGGTATTAACCAGCACAGATTTCACTAAAGCAAAGTGGGGCAGGCAACAAGTGTTTATCAAAGGAACACCATTCCCAGGACTGTGTCCCCTCCACATTCCCACACCCTACCTCAGTTCTGCCTACCCTCTACCTTCCCAGCTTTCTCTAAACCCAGACCATGCAGCCTCAGGCCCCAGAGTGAAGTAGTAGGGGACCTGGCTTAGGATCCTTCCAGTTGCTGTGGCAGGAATGAACAATATAGGAGAACTTACTTTTGCAGGATGGGGGCTATCAGCCTTTGTTATTCTAGGAATCCTAACCAGACCCAGTGGAAGAGCTATGTGTTGACTTCTCTTCTGTCTTCCCTCTTCCTTAAATCTAGAATCTCATTTCCAGATGGGAATTTCAGGGTCATGTGATTCCCCATCCTCACTCTATTCCCAAAATCTAGGTCAGAGAAATGTAACACAAGGACCTGGGATTCAGGAGTTTTCCTTACTGCACTCCTTCCCAATTCACCTTAATCAGACCATCCAGCCCACAATGGGGAACCCTCCCAGCCACATGCCTTATCAGTGACCAGACTTTTCTTCCAATTACTTAGTCTCCTAAGTCCCTTTCATTCCTTCTCCTTGTTTAAAAAATGATGTCATCGCTTTCCCACCTTCCCTCTTTCCCAGTTAAGGTTGCTGAGCAGCACAAACAGCTGCTTTCTGCTTAAGTTCAGAATCCTGAGGACCCTGAGCTTGATGTCAGCTGGGAACATGGAAGGAATATGGGAAGAAATAAAAATGCAGCAAGGGAAAATATAGATGGTGAAAACGAAATTTTGATTCATTTAGTAGATTACTGATTATTTGTAATCACAGCCACATAAACATTTTAACCCATATATAATTCTAAAATTTAATTGAACCATTGATTTTATTCTATCCACTGACATTTTTATTCTTATAATGCAAATAATGCATTGTAAATGTTTTCAATGTTTGAGTTTTACAAAATCCTTTGTTTTCTGCCCAAAGGACCAATAAGCAGTGAAACAACAAAAAAATCACAAGAAAACCAACAAATAGGAAAGAGAAGAGAAAAATGAATAATCTGTAAACAGCTCCTTACCAATAGAATTTAGTGTGTAAAAGTGGGGAGCACTTCACAAATTGGGAGCACATGTATCTACACCCACATGTCACATGTACACTCATAAGCACACTCCAAGGTTGTGAATACAACCCAAAGTAAAATAACTTCAGGGAATGAAGTGCCTTATATGGAAAAGAAGTGTGCACATGTACGCATGGCTAGAACACCTCTCAGCACTCAGAGGTTACCTGCTGCTCTCCTCTAACCCCTCCCCATCTGCCTTCAAGCCAGCAGAACTTCTCAGGGCCTCTAGTAGCAGCCCAGTAAATTTCAATCCCCTTCCCCATCCCAGAGTTGTCCCTTTCCTCTCACTGATGCAATCTACGCCTGTTCCTTTTCCTTAAGAGCCACACTGACATTATCCTTAGAGGCCAAAATTCTCGACCATATCCAGATCACCCACTCCCACCTCAATTAGCTTCTTCATACCTCAAGGGTATCTTTAAAAATGTTTTTATTGATTTTTTAGAGAGAGAGGAAGGGAGAGGGAGAGAAGATGGAAACATCAATGATAGCAAAACATGACAGAGAGACATCAGTCGGCTGCCTCCTGCACACTCCCCACTAGGGATCCAGCCCACATCCTGGGCATGTATCCTCACTGGGAACTGAACCAGCAATCTCTTGGTTCATGGGACAATGCTCAATCCACTGAGCCATGCCAGCCAGTCTCAAGGGTATTTTTATCCCCCAGGCCAGCACCTTTTCTCCCTGTAGTACTTCATTCTTTATCTAACCTTCTCAAAACCTATGTGGCACATCCCAGCTGAGGCTTATCCAACCTTGCTATGTGACTATTCATTGCTTTTCACCAGCAAGTGGTCCTCATTCTCTCCCTAACAGCTGGCCACGCTTCATGAGCACCCAACTTCACATACTATAAGGTGCTCCTCATGATACTCACCTCTTATCACCCCACACTTTCTCCCTTATCCCTAGCCAAATCCATTTTATTTACTGTAAGATTCACATCCTTGG